CAGTCATGGATAAATTTACCCCCACCCATCCCTTTGAAAAGATGTACGATTATAGACCTCTGAAACTATATAGAGGACGTAACGTAAATCAACATACATTAATCTACAAAATTAATTCTATTGCAATTAATATTATTTGTTATACCCTTATAAATATCATTCTATATATTTATTACTAATAAAAAGTCCAACAAAAGAAATGTTTTTTACATCGGTCTAACAATTACTATTGACCGGTCCTACATAAGAATTATTAGACCGCAACGTCACTCGTCTGTTACGTCACAATTAATAATCATCGTTCAATATCGGCGACGCGAAAATAGCCGAAGTTAAAGAGCTATTAAGAGTTGCTGCTAACAGCAAGGTAAGGTAGAAGGGAAGAGTATGTTTTGTGAATATTTTTTGTGATATAATAGATTTATAATTGATTTTGTTCTTTCTCAGCTGATGTTTACTGAAGAAACCATAATTTTCCATATAAAATAATTGATAGTATAGCGTGTATTGATAAAATTGATCAATCTTAAGTGAGCAGTGAAGGGTATAACAAAACAGTTATAGACTGGAATTCGGGCAACATATGATTTGTTGGACCTGAAGATGAAAATGTTGCCCTTGGCCTGCGGCCTCGGGCAACATTTTCACCTTCAGGTCCAACAAATCATATGTTGCCCTCATACCCAGTCAATAACTGTATATTATTTATAAAATAATCCATGCATTTCATTAATTATTTTCTCTATTCTCCATTCAGATATTCTGATCAATCGAAATTTCTCGTGTTTTTCCGAGCTCGCCGGAAAGACCCGAGACACTGCGAACATGACGTCATGGAATAAGGAAGTGACGCAGAGACGCCACCTTCAGCAGTAATGGATATCGTTTGTTGGAACTTGTCATGTAAATAACGCTTCACAATACGGACTCATGGCTTATTGTAACTTGCTTATCAGGGAATTTACGAACTTTCGCGACAATAGTCAGGATTCTGTACGCCTCGATCGTAATCACTGTGTATTTTCGCGAAGAGAAATCGGTAACTCACAATGGCCTACCTTGGGCTACAGACGTTTTATTTTTAAGCTTACATTTGATGAATAATCGCTTCTACGATGTTTCTAACGATTTATTATACAGTTAGCGGTGAGGAATTACGAATTTCAGTGTCCTTTTCTGCCAGCAATGGAACAAAACTTGGATTTTCGTTGAGGGTTAGCTTTTCAGTGAAAAGCTAAGGGGGGTTAGCTTTTCAGTGAAAAGCTAAGGTGGGTTAGCTTTTCACTGAAAAGCTAACCCCACCCCCCTTCTACCGGAAGTAAATTTTAGACTTATATTATGAGATTGAATAACAATAATAAATTTATACACACCAAAAAAAGAAAAAAGAAAGAAATATAGATAGAAACATTGATAAAAAGATAGAAAATACAAAACGTAATGAAAGATGTGATATAAACATTTTTTCTTCATCTAAGTAATATCACTTACATTTAGGTATAAATGTCACTACCATTTTTATTTTTTAAGTAACTAAGGGGTAATAGGGCACCTTATAATTTATTCACAGGAAAAGGGTGAATTCCCAGAAAAATGATTATTCCCAGATAAAATAATTCCTTGTTTTTGAGTGCTATAGTATCTTTTTATAAAATTGTTTTCACTTATTGGTAAACAGTGTTCAGCTGGCAAGGTACAACTCCATTCGCAGAGCTTCGCAAAACATCCGGGAACTGTCCAATTACAGGGATTCTATGCTGTCAACAAGTAGAAGTGGGTCAATGTCATTCATAGATGCAGAGAGGCCCCAGAGAGGGGGTCGGCCATCTAGAAATTCTACCTACTCTGCACCCTCCACACTTCAGAGGTAAATCACTCTTTTAATAGAGATGTGAAAAAGATATTAAATTCATTTGCCTTGTACTAGGGCTGGGCAATAATATCGATATTTCAATATATTGCAATACAATGACCAAAAATATTGTATCGCAATACGATTTTGTAATATCGATATATTGGCAATATGCTTAGATTAAGGAATTTTGTCATTAAATATAAAAATGGACTTATGAAACTTTTGTTATTAAGCCAAACATTAAGACAGAAGTTGTTTTGTCTGAACATTTCAGAGCATAACTTAAAGAAATCAACCAGATTTTTTTTCCGTGTTGGTTACTTATCATAGTTATGTACATTCTGCATGTAAATTAAAGTAAATGTAGGAAGAAAATGCCATTTTTATTACATTGAAAATATTGCAATACATATCGCAATACAGTTTAAAATATCGCAATATATCGCAATACGAAATCTTGGGTCAATACCCAGCCCTACCTTGTACTCTGCATTACTAATGAGGTAAAGTATCGTATGAAAGAGTCATAGGGAACTTACGGATGTATCAGGACCCTCAAAAACTTTGAAAATATAGGCATGTTTATGCATATTTAAAAACAATTTTAAGGTTTTTTACCCCTCCCCCCATGAAAAAAAGAGAGAGAAATTAAAAAAAAATAACAACCACTTATGACCTTTTCTATCATTTTTAGCTCACCTGAGCCAAAGGCTCAAGTGAGCTTTTCTGATCACATTTTGTCCGTCGTCCGTCTGTCCGTCTAGCTGTCTGTCTGTCCGTCTGTAAACTTTTAGGAAACTTATAGGAAAATTCTTAAAAAATCTTCTTCTCAAGAATAGCAAAGCCATAATTGATTATGTTTATATGGAAGTATCCTCAGGTAGTGTAGATTCAAATTTGTTCAAGTCATGACCCCCGGGGGTAGGGCGGGGCCAAAATGACCGACCACAGTTTTGCATAGAAATATATAGGAAAATTCTTTAAAAATCTTCTTCTCAAGAATAGCAAAGGCATGAATGGTCATATTTATATGAAAGCATCCTTAGGTAGTGTAGATTCAAGTTTGTTCAAGTCATGACCCCCGGGGGTAGGGCGGGGCCAAAATGGCCGACCAAAGTTTTACATAGAAATATATAGGAAAATTCTTTAAAAATCTTCTTCTCAAGAATAGCAAAGCCATAATTGATCATATTTATATGGAAGCATCCTCAGGTAGTGTAGATTCAAGTTTGTTCAAATCATGACCCCCGGGGGTAGGGTTGGGCCACATGGCAGACCACAGTTTTACATAGAAATATATGGGAAAATTCTTTAAAAATCTTCTTCTCAAGAATAGCAAAGCCATGATTGATCATATTTATATGGAAGCATCCTCAGGTAGTGAAGATTCCAGTTTGTTCAAATCATGACCCCCGGGGGTAGGGCGGGGCCAAAATGGCCGACCACAGTTTTACATAAAAATATACAGGAAAATTCTTTAAAAATCTTCTTCTCAAGAATAGCAAAGCCATAACTGATCATATTTATATGGAAGCATCCTCAGGTAGTGTAGATTCAAATTTGTTCAAATCATGACCCCCGGGGGTAGGGCGGGGCCACAATGGCCGACCACAGTTTTACATAGAAATATATAGGAAGATTCTTCCGTAATTGATCATATTTATATGGAAGCATCCTCAGGTAGTGTAGATTCAAATTTGTTCAAATCATGACCCCTGGGGGTAGGGCGGAGCCAAAATGGCCGACCACAGTTTTACATAGAAATATATGGGAAAATTCTTTAAAAAATCATCTTCTCAAGAATAGAAAAGCTATGATTGGTCATTGGACTATTTTTGGATTTAAACTTTTCAATAATAAACCAATTGCTACTTATTCCTAGCCACAGTGCTCAGGTGAGCGATGTGGCCCATGGGCCTCTCGTTAAAGAATTTCTGTGTTGTGCCTCTGTTCTAAATTGAAATTGATTGGTATTATTGAAATTTCTTTCAGAGAAAGAAGACATACAACATCAGATGAAAGAACCTCCCCACCCACCTATACAGAACTATTCTCTTCTTTTGGTCATCCCCCAAGGGACAATCACTCTGACAGGTAAGATTGTAAAAGCACTTATTTTGGGGGTTTAAATTTTGTGGGCAAAGAAAAAAGGTCTATTCATCAGGATTTGATTTCATGGTTGACAAAGTGTTGATTACAAAATTTGAAATTTTACATTTTGTGAATGGCATAAATTAGTGTTTCACTTCGAACCACTTAAAAAACCAAAAAATTAAAACCCCATAAAAGTAAGTAAATACACTGTATAATAGTGTATCTTAATTTCTTTGAGACAGAAGTCTCTTTTTAGCATAGTTTTATTTTGTAAGCTTGTATAGATTTAATTTTACTCACTTTATTCGCAGTAAATTAAAATATCTGATTCATGACTTACTGAAATCCTCAGTACATTTATCAAAATTGATTATAGAAATTTGCCAATCATGCATGATGCCCACTTGTATGTCATTTGTATATTTTAAAAAATTAATATACAATACAGTATACATATTTAAAACTTTGCAGATCTAGTCTTCGAGTTCCATTGGTCTATTATCAACACAGTGGAGAAAAAAGAGCAGTAATCCATAATTAATAACAAAGATTAATTGATAACTCAATGAATTAAATAAAAAAAACTATTGATTCTACCATATAATTCAAAAGAAGTGTTTAACATTGCATTTTGAAATGAGAAGACGTCATGAAACTTATTTTTTATTTTCTATACATTACTGAAAATCAGTTATTTCATGCATGTTATTGATATAGGAGAAAGATTTGTTATGCATAATTTATATTATTTAATAGAAATATAAATTGATAAAGTGTATGTTTTAGAAATAGCAATAGTAAAATAATAATCATATCATAAGGTCAACAAAGTATTTGTAACATTTTATAAATTTTTGAAAGTGATTGTTCATATGAAAATATATCAGTTTACATGGTCAACTAGTTTTGAGATTTAAGAGTATGTACTACTGTATGTTGAAACACCTATTGAAACAATGCCCACTTTTTAAATAATTTATTTCTCCTGTTCACATTAACTAAAATTTTTGCCCCCTTTTAATGCATTCAGACATGTTTGTATGAAAAATTAAAGGTGCTTATGGACATAGATTTAAGTTAATATTTTTTCAAATGTTCGGTTATATATCAAGAAATGTTTCCATAGCATTTCACACTGAAATATAATAAAAAGCTAATTTTATCTGGAAATTATTTAATTTAATTTTCTGAATTAAAGTTTTATATTTTTCATTAACACACAACAAAATTTCTACTTTTCTTAAGTTAACTCTGTGAAAGTGCATAGATGTGTCAATTAAATGGGTTCGAAATTCATAGTTTCAGGTTTCAAGAATTTCCAGATAAAGTATGTTTTTGAAATGCTATGTGCATGAGAAATGCTTTAGCAATTTATTATTCATGATATTATACCGATAACTTGAAAAAAATGTTAACTTCAAATCAGTGCGTCCAAGCATCTTTAAAGCTGTCTTTGAATTTTCTGTCTTTTTTTTTTAAATACTCAATTTAAACCAGGGCAAAGATGGTGAAAACAATTTGAAAACAATATATGGGTGAAATTTTCAAGCATTTAATATGAAAGCAATTTATTTACCAGTATTAAACTTTAATATTTTGTTGAATACAAAATGTTGTATGCAAAAAAATGTTCAACTTGGTGCTCTTACAAAACAATACTCAGAATGTTTTTGTGATTTAAGATTTTTTCCTATTGTTGTTTTTGTTAATGATATTTTTTTCACAAGAAAGATCATACATGTATATTGTTGTTGTTGTGTTTACTTTAATATAAATGGTGCTTTTGCTATTAATTTCTACAATGTATTAACTGTACTGCCCTTTAATGTAGATAAATATTATTAAACTTATCATGTCTTTTTTTTTAGCTCAGGTGAGCTTTTCTAATCACATTTTTCTGTAGTCCGTCTGTCTAGCTGTCCGTCTGTCTGTCTGTAAACTTTTCACATTTTCGACTTCTTCTCAAGAACCACTGGGCCAATTTTAACCAAATTTGCAACAAAGCATTCTTGGGTAAAGGGGATTCAAGTTTGTTCAAATGAATGGCCAAGCCCTCTTCCAGGGGGAGATAATTATGAATTAAAGGAAAATTAATGGTATTTTTTAAAAATCTTCTTCTCAAGAACCGTTGGGCCAGGAAAGATGAAACTCATGTGGAAGCATCCTCAGGTAGTGTAGATTCGGATTTGTTCTGGGGTTAGGCGGGGCCACAATGGCCGATCAAAGTTTTACATAGAAATATACAGGAACGTTTTTTTAAAATCTTCTTCTCAAGTACCATTGTGCCAGGAAAAAGGAAACTTATAGGGAAGGATTCTGAGGTAGTGTAGATTCTGTTTTGTTCAAATCATGACCCCCGTGGATAGGGAGGGGCCACAACGGCCGATCAAAGTTTAACATAGAAATATATATATATAGGAAAATTCATTAAAAATCTTCTTCTCAAGAATAGCAAAGGCATGAGTGATCATATTTAAAGGGAAGCATCCTCAGGTAGTGTAGATTCAGGTTTGTTCAAATCATGACTCCTGGGCGTAGAGGGGCTACAATGGCCGATCAAAGTTTTACATAGATATAAATCGGAAAATTTTTTTAAAAATCTTCTCAAGAATGACAAAGGCATGAATGATTATATTTTTATGGAAGAATCCTCTGCTAGTGGTCATTCAATTTTGTTCATATTATGACCCCTGGGGGTAGGGTGGGGCCACAACATGGAATCCAAGATTTACATAGAAACATGTAGAAAAAATCTTAAAAATTCTTCTTTTCAAGAATAACAAAGCCATGACTGATCATATTTATATGAAAGCATCTTCAGGTAGTAAAGATTCAAGTTCGTACAAATCATGACCCCCTGGGGTAAGACAGGGCCATAATAGCTGACCAAAATTTTACGTGAAAATATGTATAGGAAAATTCTTTAAAAATCTTCTTCTCAAGAATAACAATTAAAAGCCATAATAGATCATATTTATATGGAAGCATCCTCAGATAGTGTAGATTCGAATTTGTTCAAATCATTACCCCCGGGGGTAGGGCGGGGCCACAATAGCCGATCAAAATTTTACTTAGAAATATATTAAATTCTTTCAAAATTTTCTTCTCAAAAATGGCAAAGGCATAATTGTTCATATTTATTTGGAAGCATCCTCATGTAGTGTTGATTCAAGTTTGTTCTGATCATGACCCCTGGGGGTAGGGCGGGGCCACAATGGCTGATCAAAGTTTTACAGAGAAATATATTATAGGAAATTTCTTTTAAAATCTTCTTCTGGAGAACCACTGTGCCAGGAAAGATGAAACTTATAGGGAAGCATCTTCAAGTTGTGTAGATTCAATTTTGTTCAAGTCATGACCCCTGGGTGTGGGACGGGGCCATAATGTTAGTTCAAATGTAAAGGACAATAAGCCAAAGGTAAACTGATTTCTGCATTTTTCCTAGCCACATTGCTTAGGTGAGCGATGTGGCCCATGGGCCTCTTGTTTTTATTGTAAGGTATTTTTTCTTTCTTTTATATTTTTGTTGTTGTTGTCATATTAAATAGATTATCATTTAAAGAAATAAAGATTAATTCAGTTTTGTTATATTTTTTTCTAGAGGCATGCTCCCGATCAGTACAAAAAATATCTAAATTATAAAATCTAATACCGATATCAGTTAAAACGACTTTTTAGCTGTTGTTCAATATTTTTATATAATCCGGTAGCAAACCCATGCGAGTTGTGAATGCTTTTGAAAAAAAAAAAAAACTCTGTACACGTACCACAAAATTCCCTCTCTTGTGCCTCTTTATGATACCTCGGGTTATCTCTCTTGTTTTTATTAATAGAAAATTATATCTCGTTCTACCATCATCAATTTCTCGCGTATTTTTTTAAAAGCATTCTGAACTATGTTTTTTTTCTTTTCTGTAAGAAGAAGTTAGTCGAGTTTCAATTTTGACAAAATGCAAAGCTTTAAAACAAAATACAACAAGAGTTTATGCAACATACAGTCACGTTTTTAGCTCACCTGAGCCTAAGGCTCAAGTGAGCTTTTCTGATCACATTTTGTCCGTCGTCCGTCTGTCCGTCCGTCTGTAAACTTTTCACATTTTCGACGTCTTCTCAAGAACCACTGGGCCAATTTTGACCAAACTTGGTTCAAAGCATCAATAAGTGAAGTAGAATTCAAATTGTAAAAATGAAGGGCCAAGTCTCCTCATAAGGGGAGATAATCAAGAAAAGACAAAAATAGGGTGGGGTCATTAAAAAATATTCTTCTCAAGAACCACTGGGCCAGAAAAGCTGAAACTTATGTGGTAGCATCCTTGGGTAGTGTAGATTCTAAATTGTTCAACTGACCCCCGGGGGTTGGGCGGGGCCACAATGGGGAATCCAAGTTTTAGATAGAAATATATAGGAAAAATCTATAAAAATCTTCTTTTCAAGAACCACTGGGCCAGAAAAGCTGAAACTTATGTGGAAGCATCCTAGGGTAGTGTAGATTCTAAATTGTTCAAATCATGACCCCCTGGGGTTGGGCAGGGCCACAATGGGGAATCCAAGTCTTACATAGAAATATATAGGAAAAATCTATAAAAATCTTCTTTTCAAGAACCATTGGGTCAGAAAAGCTGAAACTTATGTGGAATTATCCTGGGGTAGTGTAGATTCTAAATTGTTCAAATCATGACCCCCGGGGGTTGGGCGGGGCCACAATTGGGAATTCAAGTTTTACATAAAAATATATAGGAAAAATATTTTAATATCTTCTTCTCAAGAACCACTGGGCCAGAAAAGCTGAAACTTATGTGGAAGCATCCTATGATAGAGTAGATTTTAAATTGTACAAATCATGACCCCCAGGGGTTGGGCGGGGCCACAATGGGGAATCAAAGTTTAACATAGAAATATACAGGAAAATATTTTAAAATCTTCTTCTCAAGAACCATTGGGCCAGGGAAGCTGATACATATGTGGAAGCATCCTGGGGTAGTGTAGATTCTAAATTATTCAAATCAAGACCCCTGGGGATTGGGCGGGGCCACAATGGAGATTCCAAGTTTTACATAGAAATATATAGGAAAAATCTATAAAACTCTTCTTCTCAAGAACCACTGGGCCAGAAAAGCTGAAACTTATGTGGAAGCATCCTGGGGTAGTGTAGATTCTAAATTGTTCAAATGAGGTCCCCCAGGGGTTGGGCAGGGCCACAATGGGGAATTCAATTTTTACATAAAAATATATAGGAAAAATCTTTAAAAATCTTTTCAAGAACCACTGGGCCAGAAAAGCTGAAACTTATGTGGAAGCATCCTGGGGTAGTGTAGATTCTAAATTGTTCAAATCATGACCCCCGGGGGTTGGGCGGGGCCACAAAGGGGAATCCAAGTTTTACATAGAAATATATAGGAAAAATCTATAAAAATCTTCTTCTCAAGAACCACTGGGCCAGAAAAGCTGAAACTTATGTGGAAACATCCTGGGGTAGTGTAGATTTCAAATTGTCTAAAGTTGGGGTCGCAATATGTATTACAAGGGGAAAATCTGGTAAAGAACAGAATGGTCAAAGCTTCGCAGGTGAGCGATGTGGCCCATAGGCCTCTTGTTACATGTTGTGAATGGTGGAGCGGATCAATATCCTTTGCGATATTATAATAATGTCTTAGTATCCTCAAACAGGTCCTCATGTAGATCTATAAAATCGCATTCATTCGTCCGTATAACGGGTATTCTATACGCCAATCAATCACCTTGTCTGCAGCTTCTGACACTAAATGAATTATACAGAATCTACTATATCTAATAGATGATCTACATTAGCTCGATCAAATCGATCTTGAATAAATATATGTCATATCTTTTTTTCTTAAAAATTAACCAGTGGATATAGATACAAACAAAAATTAAAATAGGAATGAAAATAAATTTTTATTATCACAATTCACTTTTAATTTAACTGCAAAAGTAAGTGTAAAAAACGTAAACTCGTGGTAAAAAAAATCTGCGTTGACTCTGCAACGTCACACCTTTATGACGTTATTTCTTTGTTTTAGTAAAAATGCCATAAGCATCCTTTCTCATGGGCGCAATCATTTAATTATTTAAGGTAATCCATTGGCAAACTCTCTGTATTCTCATTTCTGTAGCTGTTTGTATGTTGTAGAATAGTGCTTGTCTGAGAGATTGTTCGTATGAGTATAGAGCAGCCTGGGGGTTCCCTGTCACCTGTTGACAGATCCCCAGAATCTGCCACGATATGTCTCTGAATTCTATTGGTATAATATTATAAAGCTGATCCTGATCATAGTGAACTAGGGTCTGTAGATCATCTAGAGCTGTTCGTGCTCGCATTGTGTCTACATGTCTGTAGCACAAGATCTCTAGCATGTAGAACAGTACCAAGGATGGTACAAATAAAAAAGGCCAGTGGGTCTGTTGAGCAGACTGTTGTTCAGGTATCAGTTCACTGATGTAATGGATACTTTTGTGAAGTTTGATATCCCATGCTACAGCCTGTCTCATCTTTGTAGACCAGGACTGTCCCCCTACAGCCTCCATATACATCTCTGTATCTATAATCAAGTTGTTATACATCACATATGACTGTGCTAACTTGACATTGATCATCTCTATAATAGATAAAGTTTCCCTGTATCTAAGTGTCTTGTAGTAATACATGGCTATGTACAGCATGTCTGTAATACAACCAAACTTGGCTGCTAATTTCAGCATGTGACAGGACATTTTGTCAGCTCTATACCTCGTTTTGTTGTCA